GTTCTTCACTGGCTTCCACGTGGTTTTTGCCACCTGCTGTACTTCTATATGCACAGTAGGCAAATATTCTAGGAATTCTTTGTACATACAACTGTCTTCACTGCATGAAAAACTAACTTCTGATCTACTACAAAATCTCTCTTCTCACTCTGTGAATTTAAACACCACAACTTTCCCTCGTCCTCCTCACCTGGTCCACGGTGAAGACGCTGATCCTTTCCCGGCCCAGCCACTTGTTAAACTCTGCCTTCCAGTTCTGCACCAGGCTGCCGGGCGTCACCACGAGGACTCGCTTGGCCACCGGCCTCCCGCCATAAGGGCCCTGCTTCAGCAGCGTCCAGGACAACGCAACGCTCTGCAGCGTCTTTCCCAGACCCATTTCATCAGCCAGGATGGCACCGTGCCGACCCACAGCTCTGAAACACATCAGAATGATCCTGATAAAAGCTGCGATTGCTTTTAGATTATTTATCTTTACCTTTAATTTCGGGCTTAACTGTATGCTACAGCAGCAGCACTCTCACCTCATGCCCATGACACACTCGTAGAGGAAGAGCAGGCCGTCCCTCTGGTGAGGTCGCAGGTGAGCGGTCAGGTGTGGATCCACCACAACATCCACCACAGGAAGCCCCAACTTGTTGTTAGACCACTGGTGGTTGGACGAGGGGCGAGGCATCACCAGGGCACCTGGAATAACACAAATAGGATCAAATAAAATGTTTATTTTGCTCTGTTATAGACACAAGAAGGAATGTTCTATCAAATTAAAGCACGTATGAACAAGTAACTGGCGTCTGTAGAACAGGATGAAGCTAAATATTAAAAATTTAATCCCATCCACCTTGAGCTGATGTGTTTAAATATCCAATCAATCTGAACTCAGGTTTTAGTGGAAATAAACAACACAGGTTTATAAAGTGAGAGGGGTCTACTTCTATATGTTACGTTATTCACTTTAACCTCTTTGTTTTCATCCATAGGGGAGCGTGAACGCAGCGTAGACCCTCGTCACAAGACTACTGTCAGCGGTGGGATGTAACTAAAGTACATTTGCTAAATATCTTCAACTTTTAAACTAAATATGACGCATTGCTGCAAACTAAACTAGACAACAGTGTATAAAGTAGTTCAATCTTAAACATCTACAGCAGTAAAAGGCAATATAGTAGTAACATGAAAGCAAAATACTAACAGAGAGCAATATTCTGCAAAATTAGCACTTTAATTTGTCCTATTTTAGGTACATTTTGCTGTTAACACTTTAATATTTTCACTTAACTAAGGTTTTAAGTGCAGGACTAGTTTAGTTTAACCACATTTGTTTTGTTCTCCATACCGCCGTTGTTATCACACGCAATCAATCAGTGTGACACTAAAATCGATGTTCAATCACCCAAATTCAACAGTTAAGCCATTAAAATCACAGCAGGAGATATTAAATAGTGACATTTAAATAATAGCCCATTTTGCAGTTTGCAGACAGGTTCTCCTAACTATGAGCAACAAAATAAGAAAATACAATATACAGCTTATATTGGGAACTCCACAGAGTATCTCTATATACTCTCTATATATATCACACGTAGAACTACAGATGGGAATCTGTGCATCCAGGAGACAGACTTTCTCCTGTTCTGATCAGTAAAATACCTTCTGATTTACTCACCTGGAGCTAGGGGGTCATGGCGAGGCCTGCAGGTCTGTTCCTCCTCTGGCTTCCTCTCTGGCTGCTCCGCTCGGCCCACCATCGTAGGAGGACAGAAAGGTTTGGATGCAAAGCGACGGGGTGGAGGTGGAGCAGACTTTGCGTGCGACTCCACCTGCTCCGTTTGAACCTCCTGGAAACAGCGGCCTTTGGCGAAGTCCTCTGCAGAAATGACTCCCATCACCTCCACCTCCTTCCCGCCGATCATCAGGGTCTCTCCTTCAGACAGCGACGCCAGCTGTGACACCTTGTAGCCGCTACCTGTAACACCCACAACATCATGTAAGCTGGGAAGAATGATCTAGTATAAGTCTCCTTCTATATGTCACCTCTCTGCCAGTTTTGATGATGCTTGAAGGTTTTGTGTAGTTGAAAAGTGTTTGATTAGTTTCCATACGTACATTGCTAAAGCCACAGGACACATTTCAACAGCAACATAAACCAGTCAAATATATTTATGTTGTTAGTCTAACATTCAGTAAAAATTTTAAACATACGTCTTTAATTTTGTATGAAACAAAGCTTCACCAGTTAATTAGTTTAAATAAACAGAAAATTAACTATTTCGATAATTAATTTATCAGCTCAGGTAGCTTTTCTTTCTTTTTTTTTTAAAGAAAAAATGTCTAAATTCTCTGATTCCAGCTCCGTACTAATGAATATTTTCTGTCTTTTTTCCTCTTCTACAACAGTAGACTGAATATTTTTTGCTTCTGGGCAAAACAAGACATTTGTCATCGTGTTACTTGAGAAACGCTAACAGATGTGTCACCATTTTCTGACATTTTATAGGCCGAACAACTAATCGTTTATTCTAGGAAATAATCTATGCGATTTGTTGACAATGGAAATAATCATTAGTTGCAGCCCGACAGTGCAGTTTAAGTACTTTCTGCCATTATAATTTAACGTCCAAAATCCAAGTGTCACATTTATGCACCGAACTGCCCTCAGTAATTCCCATAAAGACTTCAAAAATTATTCATCTGTTGGTATTTATTGCAAAGAATATTCAATGAATAACAGAAACTCATTTTAATCTGGCCAAAGCGATTTCCACATGTCCGTCATAATCAGACATTTGTAGAGCATCATATTTGAACGTATGGAGTTTAAAGTTTAACAGCTCTAAAGTGCAGCTGTCGTGTTAGAAATGAAGCGCTGCCTTTAGAGTGCAACGATTGGGACAAGAAATATATTAATTTACAAGAAAAACAGCGTCCTAAAAGCCTCATTTGCAGAGATAGAAAGATTTTTTTCCCCCCATTATAACAACCTGATAGATGATTTTGTACAAAGAAGAGCTACACGATGCACTAAACAGCCCTTTTCATGAGAGCAAATACGGGGTCTGAAGAAGAAAACCTTGTTAACAAAGAAAGCTGATTACCACCCATTACCTCTGACAGGGTTTTAGGTTTTGTCCAGCCATTTAACAAAAAAGAAAACCTGAATATGTGGAACTTTCTTCATACTACAGTGCTCTGAGTGGAGAGAGAAGCACTGATTTAATAGATTTGCACCTCCCAGTTACATCTTAGCCATTTTAAGGCACGAAGAGGGGTTATTTTCATGTAGAAAAATCTAAATATATGCAACTTTTATGCAAAGAGATCAGCTTTTAGGGGTTTAAGCAAAGGTTTATCCGCTTTACACAGCTTTTCCTATAAAATGTGACAAGGAAAAATATAAACATAAACATGTAGTGTGTGTGCCTCACCCTTTCCAATATCCTTCCCCTCCATGTCCTTAAGTGTGACGCTGCGTCCTCTAGTAATCAGCACCGCGTCGCCCTCCCAGCGCTTGTGTTTCTTCTTGCTGGCCTTACACCAGACCACGCTGAGGTACCGCACTCCATCCTGACTGCAGCCGCCGTCTGAGCCTGCAGGAGGCCGAGGGGTTTCAGGAGACCTGGGAGTCACCTCTGTAACATAAAAAAACAAGAATTACAGCGGATGAAAACCAACAGCATGCAGCGAGGAACAAGGCTGACAAGCCGCCAGCAGAGGTCACTGGTGCACCAAGGCAGCCCCGCGCCTTCATGTACATCCACAGACGACTGCGAGAACCAGCTTGAAAAAAATACAACAAAGATGTCTACATGAGGGCGAAACAGTGACGCAAGAATGCAAACATGAGGTGATTCGGTCATGATCCTTTGTCATTATCCTCTAAAACAGGGATTCAGAAGAATCAGAAAAAAGTGACGAAATCCAGAAAAGAAACAGCCGGTATAATAAGAACGTTTTTATTTTTTAATAGAAATAAGTGAACAAACTGTAAGAGAAACTGACAGCACATACAGACCAACATTACAATACAATCAATGTTACATTAAATAGCAATAAGATTAAAAACCAACAGCGTCTCTCCCTTCTTTTGTTCGCTCAGCTGGCCATCAGGGGAGCATTTCGGACTTGAACATTGTTGATTCATTCACAGAAGTTGGCTTTTACGTCAGGGCTGCAGCTCACGATTATTTTCGATTAATCTCTCAGTGTGTTTCCCAAAACACAGGATGTCGGTTTACTGTCACGGAGGAGGAACAATATAACAATACTGGAAAATATTCACATTTTAAGAGGCTGGAATGACAGAATTTAGACCGACTGATCAATTATCACAGTAGTTGGCGATAAATTGCTGCAGTTCTACAGTATTATCATCATATGATAAAGGCCTTTGAAAGTTTGATTCTCGCTCCAACCCTGGTACTGACGTGTTCCTTGCTAGTAAACTGGGGTGTTACATTTTAGGGATTTTTTTTTTTTACCGATTCCAGATTATTTAGACGCTCTCTTGACAAACAGAACATTTACCCAATCACACCAATTTCCAGATAATCCTGGATAATAAAGACAACACTTCCGTAGTTACACATCGATGACAGAATCATACAGGAAAAAGCTCCAGTAAGGTACATGTCAGCCAACACTACAAATATTCCCTTCCAAACGTTCACAGTTATTTCACCCCTTTTGGCCTGTCACAGTGTTACCGATGCCTGTGGAAATGATGATGGCAACATGAGTCTCCTGCTACCCGCGTCTTGTACGAGGCACTATGTTTCCAAAATAAGTTCAAGTTCTCACAACGCAAAACCGATGATTGCCACACTTTAAACTCCTCCGAGCCTCTCCCTTTCCAACAGCCGCCACCGATGCGCGAGTTTGTACTTGTTATAGAGGAATTGGCAGGCCGTGTCTCAGCCGGGCAGCCTTCAGTTTCTCCACTTTAATCTTGGCTCTGAGGAGCTCTTCTTCCAGCTCCTGCTTCCTCTTCAGTCCTTCCCTCTTCTCCTCCAGGTACAGCGCCACCTTCCTGTGGTTGGCCAGCACCAGCTCGTGCTCCTCCTTGGCCAGGTGCAGCGGGCGAAACCTGTCGGGCTCGTGGTGGGGGTAGATGTCGTTGGGGTAGAGGTCGTGGCGTAAGGGCAGCGGCGACGTGGAGAGGGGGATGTTGACGGAGGAAGGGGACGGAGACAGCGAGGCTTCGTAATCGTGGACGCTGCCCAAGTCCTGCTCCCCCTCTCGCTCCGGGCCTCCGTCCAGCCCCGGGCCTGTGTGTGAGGGGAGGATGGGGAGGTCTGGCGGAGGTTTTACATCCTCTTCAGGGTCCAGCTGGACCACCTCATGGGGGATACTTGGGACAGCTGCTGAGTAATCCTGGAGTCCGGCCAGAGAGGAGCTGCTGCCAGGATGCTCGATGGGAGAGTTGTGCTTGCTGTATATTAATCTGCAAATGGAAAAAGAGGGATAAAAATGAGTGAGCCTGGAGCACTTAAACAGCATTTATTGGCTGACTATATCTTGTTTATGTGAAGAGTGTGTTGACCTCTGTTGGTAATAATGTAGATTAACCCCAAAACCTGCAGGTACATCTGAAAGGTGTGTTGTCTTTGTACAAACATTCACCAAAATGACACCATTTATCAGAGCTAGAAACTGCTGAAACACCTAAAACTGATAAATCTTGATCTAATCATGCTTGACTTTCATTTTGTTCAGGAAAATTAACAAAATCTGAGCCTGAAATCATAATACCAAATAAAAATCACTTTATTCTACATGCTTTATTATTTAAAATTGCCAAAAATAAACAGTTTGCTTTTACCAGATTCTATAAAAGGCAAAAAAATGATGCGTTTCTTTGCACAACCAAGAAGCAATGACTGACTCAGCTGTGACAAACAGTCATGTGACAAAAATTCAGAGGATGAACTGCAGGCTGTGTCCACACAGAGCATGCACAAATAGAAAAATTAGCAAAAGTGCACTGATTAACTTTCTTTTTTCCAATATTAACACTTGTCAGCACTTTTAAAAATGTTGCACACTTTGATTCAATGTTTTTTTTTGTGTCAAATACAGAATCAAAGAAAATAAACATGTCTCTTTTTATGTTGTGTCATGCTGCACAAAACACATTTCTGAGGTCTCTCTACATCTACTCGTGGTTTTGCGGTTTCTGTAGAGGTGCAGGACTTCATATTGCAGTTAGGAAAAATGCAACAGGAGCAAAAAAAATCAATAAAAATGCCCAGAAACTGCTTGGAGTTCAAATGGTTGAATAAATCAATTAAAGGATTAGGTGACTGATCAGAGCAGACTGAGAGGAAATTAAAGGATCTGCCAACAAATCTTGCCGGTTTTAGGCTAACAGGTGACAAGATCTCCCTGCTCTTCTTCTGTTGGTGTTCTCGTTGCTTTGGCAGAAACACTCACGACCCGTACTTTCTACACTGAACAACAGTTCTGACCTGCAACAATTAATCAATCAGCTGCAAACTAATGACTTTAACTCCAACCATTTTGATCATCGATTATTTGACCGGAGTATTTTTTTAAGAGAGAAAAAAGTCAAATTCTCTGATTGCAGCTTCTTAGATGTAAAAAAAAGTACCTTAGTGGTGTTTTTTCCGTGTAGATCTGCCAACAATAAGTAACTAAGAATATTAGAGTACTATTAATGATCTGCTTTATCCAAGATTACTGGAAGAATATGAGAATATGTTATATGAGAGTGTCAGGAGCAAGTGTTCTGCTGATTCTTTGGAAAGAAAATGTCCACTTAACTTGGCATCTGTAAAACTTAGATGTGAGCAAATTAAGCAGTTAGGTTTTTAAGTAACTAAACTAAGTGATTAAGAGTTTTCTCTCAAAAGGAAAAGAAACCACGGTTCAGTTCAAATGAGAATGTCAGTGGAATTTTTCAGACAAACTAAGAGTGGAGTTAAACTTTCAGTAACCTCATAATGACGATAACGCAGAGCTGCAACAATCATCCACCATTAAATTAATCGTCAACTAATTTGATGATGAAGGAAGAAAAAGTCTAAATTCTCAGATTGCAGCTTCTTATACATGAACATGTTCTGGCTTCTTTCCTTCTCCGTGACAGAAAACTGAACATCTTTGGGTTGTGGACAAAACAAGACATCTGTCATCTTGGACCATGAGGACATTTTCAAACATTTTCAAGATCAAACAATTAATCAGTTAACTAAGCATGTAAATAATCGTGAGTTTACACTCTAGTGTTGGGATATTCTGCCTCAAACTTGTTTTTTTGGCTGGGAGCTCAAGATAAACAGAATTTTTGGATCAGATCTGTGATAAATAGTCACTCGTATCATTATCAAAAGAATGCTGGAGTACTTTGGACGTACTTGAACCACGGAACAAGCCACTGAAGAGTAAAAGCAGCAGGACGTGCAGCGCTCTCCTGCCGAGCCTGACGGTGCACATTGAGACTGTAATCTGATTGGGAATCTGAGAGCAGCTCCTCCTCCTCTCAGAGCTGAATCATCTCTACACTCTGTTTGGAGATGAGGATGTGTATCTGCTGGCTGAACTCTCCTGACTGTGGTGTTTTCGTGTTAGGGCGTGTGTCTGTGCTGTGTCGGTCACACTGTACCTGCGCAGCGCCTGGTCCTTCTCGTGGATGGGCACGTGGTGGAACAGGTGAGGGATCATCTCCATGATTCTCCTGGTTGGCTCGGAGATGCTGGCTCTGTACTCCGGCTGGGCGTGTCTCCGCTGCATCACTTCCTGCTTGGCCGACTCCTTCAGCCTCTTGTAGAGGGTCCGGAGGCCCTGGGCAGTGCGGTGGGGCCGGTCCCCTCCCAGGGCGTTGTACTGCTCCGCCACAGTGTCCCAGCACTTGTTCTTGTCCACGATGACGGCGTGCTTGTTGGTGTGCTCCTCCAGGATGCGGATGTGAGGGCGGACCAGCTTCAACAGGTCCAGCTTCTCCGAGAGTGTGAAGTTGGAGGAGCGAGCCTTGCCCACCATACTGGACAGAAACACCGAGCTGGACGCCATCTTATCGCATAGCGGACCCTCCAGACCAAAGCGGGCCTGTGGTTCAGAGACCACGCTCAGCGCTGTGGATCCTCACCTGTCTGTCTCTGCTCTCCCCTCTCAGTCCACACTAACACTGGTCTAACTCCCAGACATTTCTGCTCCCTCTCTGATTCAAACATAGGCTACGACTAACAAGTGCATGGCTTCACACTCTACTCCTGGGTTCCCTCTCAGCTACGTTGCACAACAAAAACAGGCTGTGCTGCACACAATAAGAATCAGGCTTAACTAGGCCAGCCTCGCTTAGGCCCCCGCCTACCGCGGAGGGCTTTGGATGAATTCCTCCCAGCTTAGGCTGACGTAGCTAAGCCGCTTAAGCCCAGCCCGACCTACTTACAGCTCGGTCTCTCTAAACCCCAAACCAAGCACAGCACAGAGCACAATCAGACTCTGTCTGTCTGCACTGGGAGACAACAGCACAGGGCTCTGCACAGAACACTGTTCAAACACCACATTTCAGGTTATTAGGGGTCAGGAGTCTTTTCCCCAGAAGTGTGCATAAAGTGAACCAGCGCTGGCTTAACTAACTGAGTGGGGGAGGGGTTTTGTGAGCGCGCCGCGCATGCCCGTAGACCAGCGCTCCTGTGCGCGCTGCTCGGCGTCTGCAGAATCCAGACACAAAAATCTCAACTGTGCACCACAAACACACGTTCAGCTCGTTAAAACATGTGTGGAGGGGCGCGTGAGCGAACCGTGCGTGTGCCAAACGTGCACGACGCGTGTGCCCGAGCGGGAAAACGGAGGCACTAGTTGCTCGTGCAGGAGGACGCAGGGAGCGGCGGTGGCTCACTGATCCCGAGCACAGTCCTAATCTGGCCGCTGCTGCCGCCGCGCTGCTCCGCTCATTTGCATAATGCTGGACCTGCTGTCACTCAGCCTCTGTCCGCCGGTTTAACGGCGTTATTATTAGACACGGAGCAGGAGACCGACAGAGCTGTGCTCCTGTCCGCGATTATCTGTGCAAAAAATACTCGGCAAACCTGCGATGTGAAGCGACTTCACACCGTTTCATGGAACATGTGCTGCGGGGCTGCAGACACATGCACGCTGTCTCCGGAGAGAAGCAGGAGATGCCTCCTTTTAAATATTCTGAATCTTGTGAGGAAGAAACAAAGATGCAACAATGCCTCCGACATCATTTTTCTTCAGCATGTCCACTACAGATGTGTGTGATGTTCAGACTATGCAATACTGGGGGGAAAAAACTGACTTTGCAATATTGTGTTTGTTTCGATTGTTGGAAGAAAACATTGTATACCAGAGTTAGGACCGTTCTGTTGACTGTTTGCTTTGGATGGTATTCACTCTTGTGAGCGATTATCTGTGCAAACGTGCAGCGAGTTCACACCGTTTTATCAGAGCTGTGCTGCGAGGCTGCAGACATGTGAACAGTTTCCTGACAGAAAGATGCAGGAGATTCATCACCTTAAATACTTTCAATATTTGTCACCCCTAAAAAAAATAGAACGAGGCAAAGATGAGAAGCCTCCAACATCTTTTTTCTTCAGCATGTCCAATACAGATGTGTCTGATGTTAAAGCTGCACAATATTAGCCAAAACATGACTTGCAATATTAATTTTTTCTGATTGTTAATGTATGATGAAGTCAGGACTGTTCGCTTGACTCTGTTAAAAAAAAATAAATAAATAAAAAGAAATCATGCACCTGCACAGAAAGTTAAAAGAATGTATTGTAAAAAGGCTGAAGAAGTTGTCTAATATGGTGTAACACTGGCAAATGCATCCAAAAAAGTTCTCTATGCTTTGGATTGCATTCACTCTTGAAAGCTACTTTTTGTGCAAAAATACTCTGCAAACATGCGACGTGTAGCGAGTAAGTGGAGTGATTTCACTCCGTTTTATCAAATCTGGGCTGCAGGCATGGATGTGTTTTTCAGAGGTGGATGCCGGGGTTACATCCACCTCAATATTTTACCCCCACAACATAAACAAGAAGGAAGCAAAGACGCAAGAATGCCTCCCAACTTTCTTTGTTCTTCAACATGTCAAATACAGATGTGTGTGATGTTGAGGCTGTTGTGATTGTGGTCAGATCCTCGGCATGCAGGCAGGATGCTGCATTTCCAAGGAAAATTTATAAAGTATGAATAATTCATGAAATCCTGCTGTTGTTTGATGCTGCAGGTGTTTAATGAAGTCAGAGGAAAAACTCCTACAAACAGCTGGAAGCAAGAAACTAAACAACAGGTCCTGTTTGTTATTACTGGTGAGTCTCGTTAATCTGAACTATCAGAAACTTGTTTTTATCAAATGAAAATGTATTTTTCTGGACATTTCAGTTTGTAGTAAATGTGAAATTTAGAGCAAGTTTTTTTTTTTTTTTTTTTTTTTTTAAAAAGCAGCTTGTGATTTTGACACCCGAACTGTGTCTCAATATTGATGCAGAAATGTGGAAAAATCCCTCCTCAAATCACTTCACACAACCTGAAGTATGTCACTTGTGCATATATCTGTTCACGTGACTGCAGATCTAGTTAAATCTAGTGAGACTGCTTTTGTGACTTTTACAGAAAAGTGAGTAAAAGAGCTCATTCAGACATGAAGCTGCTAATAAACAACATCATAATATTAGCTGAGCCAAAAGTCATGATCAAAAACAGAAATAGCTGTTTAAACTGAATAAAACAGAAAAAAAAAAATTACCAACCATTTCAAAATGTTAGTGACTAAATTACCAAGATCTAATTAAACACCCAGTAAACTGTCCTTTTAACATACTGGCCTAATTGGTTGAGCTTTCCAGCCAATCTGCCTTTAATTGAGCACTAATTAGAAGTCTTGTTTTGATTTAGGAGCCAGCCAATTAAGAAGTGCAGTCATCATGAGAAACAGCAGCTCATAATCGAGAAAAGATAAGCTGTGTGCTGTTCTGTGTGCAACAGAAAAAAAAACATCTTACAGATTTTATTTCCCAGTACTAGTAGTCTTTGTGTCTCACCTGCTTCTTTCTTGTCTTCTGCACAGTCTCCCGAGTCAGGGTTTTCGTGTTCTGTCTCGTTTTCTTTGCTCTCTGTTGCACTGAGAACACGAGCCAGAGCCCTGGACAAGGCTGGAGCAGTCTGGGCAGCTTTGGGCTGGACGGTACATGGTGTCGTACTCACAGCTGGAGCTGCAAGACTTCTGTGGACCTGCAGGACAAAAGACAGAAAAAAAGAGAAATTTATCATGTGAGGAGGTTTGAGAATGCACTGAATAATGAGCACGGTTGATGAAAATTGAGAGATCAGACTGAAGGTGAAACGTTGAGAGATACTCACCTTATCCAGTGCATTGCCTAAACCCAGTTTAGGGGTCAGAGGCTTGAATTCTGCCGCAAGACATGAAGTTGATGCTCCAGGTGGCACAAATCTTGGCTTTTTCATTGCATTACCCAAAAGCTGGCTGGGAGCTCCTGAGCGCCGCATTCTGCTCTGTCCTCTTCTATGTCCTAAAGACAGATGGCAATTATTGAATATCAATACAATACTGGCGAGTTGAGGTTCTGCTCAGCATATTATCACATCATTTAAATCAGTGGGCCAGAAACACTCAAGGATATTTTAAGAAGAGCCAAAAAAAAATCTACAGTTCCTTCTTGATTCACTAATTATTCTGTGCAGTGAGCAAAGTTACCCTGAAGGATTTCAGTGTGTTCTAACTCAGTGTTTTCTCTATAATCATTTCTCTGTTGGTTCTTATAGTCCAGCCAATTATTTTGTGTGCTATTTTATTTCATGAGAAACCAATTAATGACAAATTTGACCAGAGCTGCACAAGATACAGTTTCAGCACTGACATTGTGATGTGAGCAGCAGTCATAGAAGTAAGCCACTTTAAGTCAAACACGCATCCCACAACAGCTTTTTTTGTTTCTTGATACTAACAGAAAGCTTGCACACTTCTCATTTTCCATGACTAATCGACAGGAGAAGTCTTTCTCATTTAGGAGTTCCTGTATACACAGTTTTATTTAATCTTTATTAAAAGACACTGAGTTTTCTGGCATGCAGGCTCCACATGTGCACAGCAAAATGAGTAAAAAACAGGAGAGAAATACTGGAAGGGAGAATTTGTTAAAAAAAAGAAGTCAGTTGTATGGAAATATTTCAGCTACAGATACTCTGATCAAAAGCCGGCACTCTGTCAGCAAAAAAGAAACAACATCAGTTGTATGCCTGCATTAATAATGGAAAATAATCACCAACACAATATTGCTTTTTCCCTATTAAATGAACATTATCAACAATGATTCTGATGTTTAAAATGCACATGTAGATACAATCACTTGGTTTTAACTTGGATAAAGCTGTTGATTTATTTTTTATACAGCAATTTATAACACAGAAGTACAAGAAAAGAAAAAGAGAATGTTTTCCAATGTTGTGCAGCCCTAACTTTGATCAAATCAGTCACTCTAGCAACATATCAGACATATTTACTGAAAAATATCCTGATATAGTTTCAGTTTTTGCTTAAACCTCATTTTCAGAACTAAGCTGTACAATAAAACAGGAGTTCTGACATCTTATGACAGACGTTTGGCTTATACTGACATGTGCAGCTGTTGATTTGTTGACATTAAGAGTCAAAACATGTAAAATAACAGTAAAAATGAACTGACTCTGGTGATGACTGATCTAAACTTAAAACCTGGGTGAACTGGGAGCACAGCGATAGATTTTATGGAAACAAAGCAAAACAGCATCTTTAGTTTTAGCCCTTCTCATTCACAGGTCCTGGAAAAGCATCAAACTACGGGGTTTAAGTAGTTTCTCTAAAAATCGTTGACATGAAGGTCCTGTTTAGCTTCCCAAAGATGCTAGCTACTACAGGTAGCTACATCAACCTGTTGCATTACTGGCAAGCTAGCAAGCGAGCTAACATGCTAGCGAAAAAGAGTCGCTAACACCGCTGACACGGTTTAAACTCGCACTAACAGTTATTTAATAACCTGTGACAGTGTTTTATACATACCTTGACAAGCTAAAGGCTGTATAAAATCATTCCAGATCAAAAACTGTAACTTATTTCCGAATCAATCCGCATTTTCTCTCCTTCAACTCGCCATTAGATTCTGTTTCTCCCGCTGAACGGTTTGAGGATTCTGATTGGTTGAGCCCTCGTGGTGGGCGTGGTCAAAGCGAAGGGGTGCGCTTGATTTTAACTTCACGATGATTTGCTCGGTACATTCAATTATATGGCCGTATCCGCCCCTAAGTTTTATCAGCCGGGCAACCCTGAGTATTCAATCGAGCTCAGCTAGTAGTTTTCTGACAACTGACCTCACTTAACCCCTAAAAGCGTAAAGTGAAGAAAACTAAAAAAAAAAAAAAAACACATCAAAACAAAGCCTAATATTTTACCTCTCAAAAACAGCTGCGACACAAGTAAATAGTTTTGGGGTTTTTTGTTATATTTAGAAGAATATTTAATGACAACAAAAAGAGTAATATGCTTCCCTGAAACTTCTGAATAAATATGTTATGTATGTAATCATTTCTCTTTTTAAATGTTTCCTGTCAAAGTTGTATCATGTATGTGCTGGTAGTTTCTTGCGGTCTTAGAGGTTTTTGTGTTGACACCTTAGTAATATTTGTACTTTTATGCCACCACACTGTATTTTTCCAGGTTCCTACCACCACCTTTGACATTGCTGCTGTTTTAACGAAGTCAACTGGCTTAAACTGATCAAAATGAACAGCAGCAGTGGAAAATAAGTGCATTTACTCATGTGCTCAGTCAATTATGAGATACTTTAAGGTTTATGAGAATTTAAATATGCCAATTTATACATACACACATTTCTCTGCTACACTTATTTCACATATCTTTAAACATAACGTTAAAAAGCTTGCATTAGTCACAATGTGAGGGACAATAATGCAAAAAAAATGGCCTCAATGCAATAATAACATCAACAGGAGCAATAGTAGTGCATAATTAGCACTTTTTTTTGCAAACAAAGAACATTTTGTTGAAAAGTCTCACGTGCTTAAGTGGAAATTGGAATTCAGGACTTTGAGTATTTTTAATTTGCAGCACTTTAGCCTCCTCCACCATTAAATCTAACCTAAATAAAAATGTGAAGGGACCAGGGTGGTGAGTGCAGGCGTTCGGGGTGCTCTTTGATTTTTGTGGTCATGTGTTTTGTGCCATCTGATGTTGTGTGTTCCGTAATCCAATCAGAGAGGGAGAGAGTGTAATCCACGTTAATCCCACATCCAGAGAGAAACCGAGGATAGTGTGTAAGAGACACAGAAACAGTGGAAGGACAGCAGTAATCTCTGAAGGCCACGTCACAACAACACTTTAATGGTCCGCCAGCGAGGAAACTCGGCGCTGCTGCTACTGCTGCAGTTTGTCTGCTTTTCTTTTTGCTGTAATTCTGTCTGCCTCTCTGATCTGATCTGATCTCGTCTGACAGCTGCCTGCCTGTATCCTGAACCCTGGTTGTCACGGAGACCTCTCCATAGAGACGCGCTCCCCCAGGTAGGGGAGGGCTTAAAGGGAGGCAGGAGACCCTCACCTGGATGGAGTTAACAGAGAGCATGAAGGGAAGAGTAGAAGCTCAGAGATAAGAGGAACAAGTTGAGTCAAAATCTGCAGAAGGAGCAGTTGGATGAAGTGAAAGCTGCATCTCCAGGTAGGAAGAAACAAACAAAAGGAGTTTTTGTAAGGTTCCCCCGGTGTTGTATTTCTGACCGTTGTCATGTGTGCAGTTGCAGGATGGGCTATGATCTGGAGAGGTTTGTGGGTTATGTGAATGAGGGTCTGCTGTGCTGTGTGTGTCGGGACGTGTTAGAGCGCCCCCTCCAGGCGCCCTGTGAGCACGCCTACTGCAGCGCCTGCATCAGCAGCTGGCTGTTGCACCATCACTCCTGTCCTGAGGACAGACTGCCGCTGGACGTAGGCAGCCTCAAACCGCTGTACAGGTGAGTGTCCATCTTTGCAGCTCTGTTTCTGCTTACCTTGTGAGTTTTTCTGTCACTCTACTCCTGTCAAAATCAGTTTTTAAATGATTTTTTGAAGTAGTTATTTTGCAGATTTTCCCTGTTTTGTTAAATTACAGATTATATCTTGTAAAATCACAGAAAAAAAAATGTGTTTACACCTAAAATGTAGGACAAAACTGTAAATTACACCGACAGTCAGAGTCTGTATTCTTTACAAATCATAATTTGTTCTTTTGCAATGTTTGACATTAAAATTACCCTGTATTATACTCAGTAAACAATATTGTTTTAAAGATTTTTTAAAGAAAAAAAATACATATAATAAGGATTGAAACATGGTAAATAATGATCCAAAATTACAGAATTTTTCAGAGCCAGGACCTGTAAAAACAAATAATCTTTAAACAAACCTTAACCAAATCTAAGCCTGAAATTGTGACGTCACATCAAATCACTGATTTAACACGTCTCTTTTTAAAACTTGCAAAAAATCTGCAGTTCTTGGCACAACTGAGAACCTATTAGTGAGACATGGGACAAAAATAATAAGATTTTTCAGGTAAACTGCAACCAATCATTGATCAAAGAACTTTGACTTTTTTTAAAAAATGATTTCTAATAATATAATTGTGACATATTGCACAGAAGACATTTCTCTCCTTCTAGTCATGGTTGTACTGTTTCCATAGAGATTTACTGCAGTGAAAAATGTGACAGAAGCCCAAAAACAGCTGGAAGTTCAGAGGGTTAAATGAGCTGCCACCACTGTGTTTTGCAGAACTTTTGCATTTTCATTAGAGTACTGAGACACCAGCTGTTCTTGGATGTTTAAGAAACATGTAAGAACTGCTCAGACTTCAGAAAGCTGCTGCTGAAGACTTTCATTTGATTCAAGTCAGGCTTGTAGCTAATTGTGTTGTAACTTTTTATCCTCTTTATTCTCATTATTCATTGTGTTTTTTTTGTGTTTTGTGACCTGCTGTTCGGTCATACAGCAGCTTGGTTCAGCTCCTGTTGTGCTTTATGAATAAATTCCACTTTGACTCATTATAAACTGGCATCCTGTGGGTGTTTTTCTTTTTTGTCTCTGTGTGTTTTCTGGCAGATACATGCGTAACGACCTGAACCGTCTGCAGATCCGCTGTGTGAATGCTGGACAGGGATGTGAGGTGATCTGCTCCCTGGAGAGTCTTCACACGCACGAGGACGAGTGCGAGTTCGCCTTCATATCCTGCTCCAACACCGGTACAGCAGCTCTGCTCATCTCATGTGTGGCTTCATCTCTGTTCTTAGCAGTAATTATAAACTGTAATGCTCGTGGATGTGGACGATGCAGAGGTAATGTGACACCTCTGTGAGCAGCAGGTGTCTCTTTTGTTGTCATGGCTACAACCCAAACCGGTGCACCTATGGGACCGGCAGCACTCGAAGGCCCACGCGGAGTCACTCGGGGTCGACTTTCCATCACTCTTTAATGAGCGATTTAAACGTCTGCTTGTATATAAAAGAATTTGATGCTCTGAAAGTGACTGTTGGCCTGTTGTTGGCAGATGCAGAGTACATATGTTTCCACTGTGGTAGGTGCAGTTACACAGTGTGTGTGCATGCAGTGTGGTTGTCTGCAGTGATAAATACCAAGAACCCCGTCTGACACTAGTGCTGCTGTGATCTTTTTTATTTATTTGGTCAAAAATGAGGCATAATGAGTGCAGCGAGAAGGATGAAAGCATAAAAATATTCAGTTCATTCTACAGTTAGTACTTTCATCGCTATCCTTCTATATTTTTATTGTATGTGGCACCATGCTGCTGATGTTTGATGGTGGCAGTTATACCCACACTAGCATACTGTATACACACTATGTACACAGGAATTCAAGCATAGTTGCAAGATAAATAATAAAATAAATAAATTCAGATTTTAAGTTGCAAACTTTATTTTGATGGTTTAGATTAACATGGTAATTTTGCATCAACTTAATATTGTGTAAACTCTGCATTTAACCCTGTAACGCCAAGTCTGTCATGTTTGACATATGAGTTTTTAAAACCTCTACATTTTTCATGATGTATACAATCAGACAAGTGCAGTGCACAGACAAGCCACCATGAATCGTAATCCATGCACCAAAAATGCCGGATGTAGGAAAAAAAGTTACAAATTCAAACCTATATATGCAAATTGATGTTTAAATTTAAAGTTTAACAAATATGCCAGTTTCAAAAAATAACAATTTTCTGGACATTTATTTTATGGTTCAGGCTTCACAGGGTTAAAACGAAATTGCAACCCGTCTGTAGCAGAAACAGACCTTTATGTTAAGGTGGAAATAGTAGTGTATTCCATTTTTGTTTGCAGTGAAGTTTGACTTTCTCTCTTCTGCTTGTTTGCGTGTCTTGGATCTGTCACCATATCTGACCATCGTTTTCCACTTCTTTGTGTCCAGTTTGGTGTTTTAATCACAGTCATGTCTGCAAACCAAAATCTGTTTGTGCAAAATATTGATCAAAAACTGATGAAACTGACTGCCTGGTGCTTCCCTCTCAGGGTGTCCCGTGCAGGTAGAGAGGCGGGGCTTGGAGGCTCACCTGTCCGAATGCAACTTCCGCAGCAGAGAGTGTCCCAACGGCTGCGGACACACTCTGCTCTCTGTGGACCAATCGCAGCACAACTGTGTGGCCGAGCTGCGAGCGGAGGTGGAGATGCTCAGGTGAGTTTGTCCACTTCTGGCTGCTCAGGTAACTGTTTGCACCGCGGGTCGTAACTGTGAACGCTGACTGCAGGGCGGAGATGCTGTGCAAGGTGGAGGAGGTGAGGCGAGAGATGGAGTCTCGGCTGGACTCCCAGAGGAGGCACATGGTGCAGAAGGAGTCGCAGCTGAAGAGCGAAGTGGAGGAGCTCAAGGTGAAGTATCGGACCTGCAGGAGCCCAATTATTCATACACAGGACTACTTCAGATTTATAGAGATTCTTTGAGTTGGTCAACAGGTTGCTTCTGGTTGGAAATGATACAAACAAGTGACAAAAGACAGTAAAACATTGAGCTGGAGATGTGATAAAATAAACGTTTTTGGGTTTTTTTTTGCAATTTTATGAAAAATATTCATATATATGGTATTTTTGCTCTGTTAAGAAAATGCAGCTTCTATCCTGTTTCGCCTGATCCTGACTATTTCTGACATTTTCTGCTGTGTCAAGGAAGCTTTCAACCTCAAAGAGCTGGAGATTGACATAAAAAGGAGCACAAAAAAACAAAACATAGAACCTGTTAATATTCACGCTTAACATCTCCAACACAATGTGTCGCCGTCTTGTATTACTTGTACTTTGTTCAATTCCAGAAGGAAAAAAATATTAGTCAAATAATTCACTCTAAATCAAAATTTGAAGTGGGTATGAGTAGTCTGGGGCTTGACTGCACTTATATATGTACCAACACATTTCAATGAGGCAGACTAGGTTGTGAAGATGTTAAATGTCACACAGGAAAATACAGTTGTGAACAAAAGTTTCCAGACACTTGTAAAGATCGTTGATAACATGACAGTCTTAAGTTTCCAGCAACTCCCAAGAATTGAGCTATTTGGCCACAATGATCAGAATTATGTGTGGGGGAGAGAAGGTGAGGCCTTTATCCCCAAGAACACCAAACCTACAGTGAAGCATGGAGGTGGCAGTATCATGCTCTGGGGCTGTTTTCAACATTCTTCAGGAAAGCCTAAAATCATCAGCCAGAAGGTTGGCTTTTGGAGGAAGTTGGATATTTCAGCAAGACTATGACCCCAAACACGCATCAAAAATGGTAAAGAAACCGTTAAATCAGGCCAGAATTTAGGTTTTCGACTGGCCTCCCTGAAGTCCTGATTTTTGACAATCTGTGAACCGTGCAGAAGAAACAAGATTGTGTCAGAAAGCCAATAAACTCAGTTAAACTTCACTGAATCTGAAAAGAGGAGGGTCAAAGATACAACCAGAAGCTTGTGGACAGCTACCAAAAGCGGCTAGCTGAGGTAAAAATAGCCAAAGAACATTCAGTCAGGTATCAGAATTGCTGAATGTATATATTTGAGCCAGCAGATTATGTTTCCAGAAGATCTGCGAAAGGACCAAAATGCATGATTGTTTTTTGTGACAAGGATGTGTTTAAATGATCCCATCAGAGAAAACTGAAACTCAAGACTGCCATAATATGTATGGTCATTACAAGTGGACGTAAACTTTAGTTCACGACTGTATCTGCTTGCTTGGTTCGTGTCGGGTGATGTTGTGTCGTCTCTTGCAGGGTCAGCTGTCCCGGGTGATGTGCGACATGCGAGCCCTGCTAGGAGCTGAGCGTCTGAGGAGGCAGGAGCTGGCGGAGGCCGAGCTGGAGAAGAGAGAGCTGCTGGAGCTGCTCAGAGACCTGCAGCCCACCAGGAACCAGCCTCCTGCCGACCAGGCGTCCAGCGACCAGCATCAGGGAGACCTGCAGAGCTGGGAGCTGCACGCCGAGTTGAGCCGACACCAGCAGAGGGAGGCCGCTGCTTTACACGCCTCCAGCCTGTCGCTGCATTCAGCTCAGGCTTCGCATCTGTCTGGTCCTCCTCCATCACCTCAGCTGGGAGAGGCAGCACGAAAGGGAGGCACCAGGAGTCTGACTCTGGACTGCATCAAGAGGAAGAGCCGGGAGGTGACGGTCATCTGAGCAAAGCCTGAGAAAGTTAGCCAAACTGCAATAAATGAGAACTCTAGTTGGACTGCTGGAGTTTAAGAAACTAGACCATTGGCTCTGTGGTTTATTAGTGTCGAGAGTTTCGAATGAAGAAACGATATTTTTTTTCTTTAAATTCAGGTTTTATGTGAAAGTAAACATTTGTTCAGTTTAAGACTCAGGTTCAGCTCACGGTTCATTATTTCATCAAACAGGTCATTGTTTGGATTTTGTGTCCCTCAGGTTTCCATTAAAGTGGTTATTTTCATGACTCCACAGCCTCCAGGATTGTTTCTAGTTTTCTCCTCAGCGATGCTGTCGTTTTTACCCGCAAAATGTTTGCTGAAACATCCCAGAGTTTCCTGTGAGAAGCTGGTATCACCAAAATGTACCTAAAGTAAGTCTTAACTCATGACATGAATTCTAAAATGTGAAAAACACAGAATAAAAAGTGATGGATGGCCTACAGTGCCTATAGAAAGTATTCATACCCTTTGGAAATAGTCCTGTTTTATTGCTTTTATGAACAATTTAATCAATTCAATTTGGCTTTTTTGACAAAAGTTTACCAAAAAAATACTCGTTTCATGTCAAAGTGAAAACAGATTTCCAGCTCCTACATACGTATGTAGCAGACTTAACTGTATTCTTCTTTGCAAAACTGCTCAAGCTGACAAGTCACACAAAATCTGTTTCAATTTTGACATTAAAGAGTCATTTCTGTATATTCTTGTCAAAAAACAGCTAAATGAATTGAGCACGATTTAGTGTTAAAAAGCAGTAACTGTGTTCATGCTTCTACTTGGAGGCCTGAATTTTCAACATAGTCTTTCTAAAGAATTTGCTTTTGATTTTTTATAAGAGGAAACATCTTACTGTTCAACTTAGAAATAATTCAGTTATCGAGAGGCGACACAGTTCAGCATCGTTTGACATTCACGTGATTTTGCACATTCACTTCCATCAGTTCCATATTTGCTTAAAAACACAAGTGTATCTTTATTTACTATCAGCTTTATTCTGATTACAACTCATGATAACAAAACATAAAACATCAACACAGTCTGTACGCCATTGTGACAACATCATACTGCCACGTTTCCATGGAGATAGCGTATGCACGATCCGGATTGGTCCATTTGGCGCCACGAGGGGCCGCAGTCACTGTCCAGGTGGGTCTACCTGGTGAAGGAACGGACGTGTCTGCCCCTCCCACCTCCGCTGCCTCCCCCGCCGCTGAACTTGCTCCCCTGAGACCCCCTTCCTCCTCCTCCACCTCCACCGCCACCTCCCCCGCCGCCTCCCCCAGCACTACCGCCGCCGCCTCCCCCGCTGAGCCACGACAGCCCGGTACCTCCCCGACCCCTCGGGGCACGATCCCGCGGGGCCAGTCGGTAGGTGCCTGGAGAGGAGAAGTCGAAGCATTCTGTTTTTATTCTCAGTGTGTAGGCACTCTGGATGCAAAACCGAGAGAGACGTGCGTGTGCAGGTGTGAGCGTCTTACTCGCTGGCGGCTGTCTGGACGGCAGAGGTCCTCGTGTGAAGTTGCTCTGACCTCCACGGGGTTCGCTGTAGGTTCCTCTGTGGGTGACGGCGGGAACTTGGGCGCTCCACGACGACCCTCGGCCTCCTTCTCTTCGAGTGTAGTTACCTGAGGAAACAAAAAGAGGCAATCTGTCACCCTCTGCTGGCCAACGTAAGACTCTGCTGACGGTTTGACTGAAGCTGAATTTACTGGACCCGCGATCCGAGTGAGGATTAAGTGGTGCATAGAAAATGGATGGATGAATTTACTGGATCTTTTTGGGAGTTTTTGATCACATCTCTCAGTCTTCATTGTCTAAGTGTGAACCTTTACTGTTTCAGTTGGTTCAAGTGTTGGAAACAGAAAAAGTACAATACAACTGAAAGCTTTGAAAACAGCTTTGACTTTTTGTTTTAAACTTCTGCTTCCATGGTTAAGACTGAATTTTCATGCAGTTACACAGTTTTCATGACTACTAAGTATATTCAGTATATGTAAAGTGTTGTATTTTGGCAGCAATTATACAAGATATATATTTTGACCATTTGGTAAAACACTGTATGATGTAAGGCATGTGCCAGCAGACCCTGATCAAGTTAGAAATTCAGACAATAGCTGGTTAAGAGGGCTTTCTGCAACCATGGTTCTTCATGGGTTTGACTAACTTTCCATTTAGGTGCCACTAAAATGCATTTTGGTACAGAATCATACATTTTACATACATTACCTTTTTATTCAGTTCCCATACACATCAGTGAATTCTTAACACACCATCTAAATGTGTGCAAACTGGAATAAAGGAGCAGCTAAACGTTTTGTTCCTTTTCATCAGTACAATCTCGGAGTTAAAGCTATTAAAATGGAGTACTCCTTTGGCAATAATATAAGCAGCTATGAATTTTATGATCATTTCTGACTCCGCACTGCTTTGGTTTGTTGGTGCTGAAGTTTAGGTTACTTGGAGAGACTGTGCTTTTTCAGCATTTCAATTTGGAACATCAATATCCCAAAAGTTTTGGCTTTGGCAGCACTCTTTGCAATAAATGCATGACATTAGTTGTTTTTAATCATATCTCAGTATGTCGTACAGGTTGAGAATTTACTTATTGTAGTAGGTGGTGTGACTGATGTGCTGAAAGAAGGTACCACAGGTTTTTTGAGTTCAGTTTTCTGACGCTACAATTTTTAAAATGCTCTACAAACGCCTCACATGCAGCTGTGCAAGGACAAGCCTCTAGTCTTCCTCAGTTACTGCAGCTCAGAACAGTTTGAGGCCAAATAAAGAGCAGAATAAGGTGTTCTAATGTGAGATTTATCTCAGTTAAAAACAAGTGATTTTATCTACGTGGGCTGCGATCAGAGACTCACAGACAGACCTGCTGAATGTCAAGCACATCAGTCTGAATGATGAAAATGTTGTGTTGTATTTGACAGACTTTTAGTTGCACTCTGGAGCCCTGAATAACATTTTTTTTCCCCCCCATGTACTGCATTACACAACTGTGTTGCAATGTGGACAATAGTTTCTTTCAGCAACACATTTACAATAGGAGGGATTTAAATCTGCACAATGGCAATGTGGGGACATGAAACCACACAAATCGGACTCATAAACAAAAAGAATTCTGTATTAATAGGATCATTTCAGAAAGGATCATGTGTATCTGTGTGGTCGTACCTGACAGGAGGACACCTTTCGGCTGTGGTGGAGTGAAGAAGCGAGTCTGGCTGTGGAAGGTGGCTCGGCCTCTGTTGCCGGTGAACAGTCCTCTGGTGGGGGGTTTGGGGGTGCTCTTCGGGGGGCGTTTGGGGGGCAACAGCCCAAGAGGGGTTGTAATGTCTTTAAACTCCGCCGCCACAAAGTCGTCCACGTGCATGCTGGGAGGACGGGAAGTGTTCTGTTTGCGGAGGCGGAAAATGTCGTGGGGTCGGGAGACGTTCTGTCCAAACCCTCCTCGACCCCCACGGCCGCGAGGAGCCGCCATGATGTGAGCTCTTTTAGCAGGTTCAACGTAGTCGGATTTACCGCTGCAGAGACGAGCACGGGAAGACATTAAGGTAAAGGATAGAAAACTACATTCAACAGCTGTGAAAACTTTCAAAAAGAAACGAGGTTAAGAGCGGCGGTGTACCTCGATGTGATGAAGGTCTCGTGTTTGTGTTTGCCCAGTCGGAAGCCTTTAGGAGCCTTCGTGTGACCGGGAGAGGACGGTTCTGAGAGGAAGGAGCGCTCCAGTTCTGCCTTCAGGTCCAGTTCTGGACAACATTCCTGAGCCAGACCCACCAGGTCCACCTTCACCTGCCACACAGACGAACAAACAGCCAAATACTTAATGTACACAACATTTAGTATTCCCTTTAAAGTCAAAGAAGGAACAAATTAACCTTAACCTTTAGAACTCCAAATATGGCTAGTTTTTGTTCCTGCCACTGTGGGCTCATTTTAAAATCCTACAGCTCTTTGGAAACAGCACAGCCATGGATAGAAGTAAAGAGAACTAAATATGTCTTGTGAAATACATCATAAATTCATAAATGTTAATAAATTGAAGTCAGTACATTCAACATTTTGCCCACAGGCATTACAAACACTGAACACACTACGGATATTTTACTATTTACATTTTTACAACCTTTACAAACTGCATTTTTCACACCACTCTGCACATCATCTCTAGAAACATGTTTCACCATGCTGAATGTATCTCCCAACAACTTGCTCCTCTGTTTACTATTATTAAGCCGTGCTGCATTTGTTTCATTGATCCAGTCCGTTTTATTTTGCTCTCAATCTCATCTCATGTCTGCTCGGTTTTTAGAGGGGCACTGACTTTTTGTTGTTTCTTCACAGGATCTGGTGCAAACTGTTTATTTTTGGTGATTTTTTTTCATACAGAATAGTCATTTTCAAAGTTTTTTTTTGTTTGTTTGGCCTTTGTGCCTTTATTGGATAGTGTAGTCAGAGAGAGACAGGAAAGTAGGGGAGAAGAATGGGAGAAGAATGGGGGGAGGACATGTGGGAAAGGGTCATGAGCGGGATTCGAACTCATGACCTCCACATTGGGACTGTAGCCCTGCACATGGGACGCCAGCTCAACCAGGTGAGCTATAGCGGCACCCACAGAATAGTCATTTTAATGAAAAAAATCACAATTTCAAGCTTAGATGTGGATATTTTCTTCCATTGTACCACACATGATTAGTTGAAAAGCTGTGTAAAAGGTGAAATTCCAGCGATTCTTTCTGTTTTCATAGCGTCTGCCTCTAAAAAATGCCGTAATTTTGTCGATTAGTTAAAGACAGCACACCTTTTAAACCCCTTGGCAGATTTTGGGGTTATAAGGTCAAACCACTTGTAGAAAAGAACAAAAAGTACTTTAACTACATTAGGTGAATGTCAGGAGTGTGGCCAAGTCTGAACATGAGAGTGTCTTTATTCGCTGTGGCTCAGCGTCTCAGTTTTAGACATACCTTAAGTTCGAACCAGGTTTTCCCACAAGTACAGACCATGACACTTGCCTTTGGGCTGTCGCTGTAGCTATATAGTAATTACACTGCAATTGCCTATTATTTGAATTTGTCAGTAAGAGAACAGAATGGGTGAAAATGAGACACTGCAGCACTGAAACGATCATGTGTGAACAAAAGAGCCACTAAAATAAGGTTAATAACTAAATGATGAAGTATTTCGTAAATAGTATTCAGGATAATACTTTTTGCCGTAACTGTGAAGCCCGAACACCTTCTTGAGATTCTTGGAAGTATGTGAAACACTCTTACCATATCGAGATCTGCTTCGATGTCATCAGTTTGGAAGGGCGAGAACCAGAGAGCCTTCAGATGCTCATCCAGAGCTTCTGACAGAATAAACACCGTCCTGCAGATTAAAAAAATACACCAGACAGTAAGTTTTATCTCTCTTGACGGTTTCATTTTAGTTCATCAGGCCTTAGTTCCAATAAAACCCCCCTTTAGACAATAATTTTATCATTTAACTAGTCAATTTTCTCGGCTACAATTGCAGACGAGTAAAAGAATACAAAGAAATCAGAGAAAAGTCCTGATCCCTCTCATTTTATGTCATCCAGATTCCAAACCTGTGGTTAAACTGGGCTCCCAGTGCTTCAGGAGCAGGCAGAGTGGGTTCAGTTTCAGCTGCAGGAGGCGTATCTGTTGCCGTCTCCAACGTCTGCCTCAGAACAATCACATTCTCCAACATGGTTTCCAGTGAATCATCTTCTTTACAGAGCTTCTGGAGACGCACAAGCACAGTAAGTTGAAGTCAACGTCGACCCTTATTTTGTAAAACAACAACACGCTGTACAGGTGTGTATCATTTGTACCGTAATCTGTTTCTCCAAAGCAGGAAGCGGATGCGACTCGGACTCCTCCCACTGCAGCAGAGCTTTCATCTCAGAGCCCGACAGCAGCCGAGGAGGGACGAAGACGGACTCGTCGCCAGAGCCCTGAGCCTCGTCGACACACTGGGTGAAAAGAAAGACTCAGAATCAGCACCGGGTACCATCAGACAAACTGGAACAAGCTTTGGAAGATAAATAATTACTAGAAGGACAAGTAAGAAGAGTAGAAAACACAATGCAGAACGGGTGATTTTGATATATGATCACAGATACATAATCCATAGAAAATAAAGTAAAAATTAAATTGCACATCACCAACAATCCTTTAAGGCAGCCATTTATTCATTTCAAGATATACCCGAATATCTGTCATTTTTATGGAAACAAAACCATTAAACAAATACACAACTCAACCAAGAAGCCATAACTGACTCAGCTGTCACCATCTGTCACATGACAAAACTATTTAGGCTGAACTGCAGGCTGCTTTTACACAAAGTGAAAAGGATAGATGTAAAAAAAAAAAAAAAGCATATCTAGAATATGTAGGACAACAACTATTTTTTAGATGTTAGTAGCGCCTGTGGGCACTTGGACAAATGTACATGTTGATTCTATTTTTTTTCTTCAAATTTTACAAATATTCACTAAAATTCAACTTGTTTGACATTCTAACTGTGTCATTCTAAACTAAAGACATTTCTCTGCTTCTAGTCACGGTAGTGCTGTTTCCACAGAGCTGCAGGACTTTATTTTGCAGTGAAAACTGAGCCCACAAATCAGCTACAAGCAGCTTGGAGTTCAGCGGGTTAAGTATCTGCATTGCTTAAAGCAATTTCCTGTGCCTTACACATCTAAGAGGTTCTTATCAGCTCGTTTTTACGGTTTACTCCGTCTCTGAGGACACTTGTTTGTTTGCTTTAATGTTTCAGGCTCCTTCGGTCTGTAATGATTTACCTCGACATATTCCCAGCGTACTTGTTTTGCTTGTGTAGTTTCACGTCTTCAGGATTTCTTATCAATGACTGTTGCTTTACAGCTTGTCCATTGCAATGATAATGTATCTTTAAAGTGTTTTTGCTGTAAACTGGATTGTCTTATCTGTGTGTTTTATTGTTATTTGTGTTTTTTGTTTTGGGACGTCCTTGAAAATAAGGCACCACCTCACAGTGTCCTGATAAAAAAGTGAACTCACCATTGTTTCTGTGTTGAGAATCTGCCTGAGAAAGTCGAGCAGAGCTGAAAGCAGATCTGCCGAGTCCTTGTTGAAGGAAAACACCAACCGCTTCAACAGCGAGCTCAAACCCGCTCCGTGTTTCTTCAGTGCTCTGAAACACAGATGAAGTGTAAGAAAAGAGCTCAACCTGTAGCACAACTAGAGGAAGCTGGAGAAAAAAGCATTTCCATTTACACTTTGAGGTGGTACAGTCCGTAGTCGTGCTCTGTGAGGAACGTCAGAGTCCTGATGCAGGTGAGGAGGAGCGGTACGCTGCTGTCTGCGTTCCCCAAAACCTCCAACAGGGAATTGCACACTGATGACATCATCTCTCGCCCAGGAAGTGCGTTGGCAAGTTGCTCAGCCTCCGACACACATCCTTCACCGGGCGGCGACACCACCAGAGAAATGTCCTGGTGAAGACAAGAGGTGGATATTTTTATGCAGTTTTTTCTTTTCCCTGGAAGGACGCGTTTTTGTTTTTTGCTTGTTTGTTTTAACATAACCCCCTGAACCCCAGAACCTCCAACTAGGATTAAAGGGCAGGTTTTCCTTTAAAAAAGAGCAAACTTAGATAATACATCATTGCCAGAAACTGCAAAAACGGGGAAAAATTGTCAGATTTCCGACTTTCAAACAGTCCTTGAATGTAGTAATGTCAGATGTGCATTCCTTCAGAAAAACTTAAACTTAACAAATTTAAGCATGGAAAAAAAAAAAAAATCATTCAACATGACATTTTTTCCCCCCAAAAAGTAAACCTTTTGTATAATTCTAATTCTGTTAAAAACTAAAAATTCTGAGCTCTTTAGCACAACCGGGAAGCTGTGACTGACTCGGCTACAATCAACAGTCACATGACAACATTTCTGTCAGTTTTCAAGTGAACTGCAGGTTGTGTTTACATGGAATAGAGATGACACAAGTACGGAAACAAATTAAAATAAAAAAAAAAAACTGAGAGGAAAATAAAACATATTGGATTAATAAAAAATGCAGCAGGGCCTAAATCCTCCATACAGAAGAGTAATTTGTTGAAAGATACATTCAGCATGGTGAAATATATTTCTAGAGCAGATGTACATACATGGTAGTGCAAAAAAAAAAAAACAGCAACGAGTTTATAAAAATTGTAAGAATTTAAGTGGTTAATAACTACATTTAAGTGGTTAGTTACCAAAAAAACCCCACTTTTTGTCCTTTTTTTGGTCATTTTAATGATTTGTGGCAATATAACTGTCATACTGCACAGAGGACACTTGTGGGTTCTCTCTACTAGTCACGGTTGTGCTGTTTCCATAGAGATACTTTAGGACTTTATATTGCAGTGTAAAATGAGCCCATAGTGAGTAAAAATGTGACAGGAGCAAGTAAAAAAAAAAAAAAGACATAAATGTGCATTTCCATTCCTACCTGGTCACACAGTGACTGTAATATCGTCCCCACTAGAACGCTGCATTGCTGCTGCTGTAAGGAGTGATCGGTCGGAGGAACCAACAGAGACAGCAGCAGCGGGAACAGATCGGCCAGCTGCTCGTCCCCAGAAACCGAACCCGACAGCAGGTGCAGCGTTGCGCTCTTACAGGCTCTCTGAGACACCAGAGCGTCCATCAGCGACAGCAGACGCAGGACCTGGCTCCAGCAGACGCCCTTCCCCTCGACCCTGCAGCCAGCACATTACGCACACTTACAACATGGTTCATGGGACAAACACAAACGCTGGTGCTGGTGCATGTTGTTGACTCACGGCTGCAGCTCCTCCAGCAGCAGCTCCAGCAGCGTCTTCATGATGAGCGTGGCGGTGGGCGAAGACAGGTCCGCCAGCTGAACGCACACTCTCCTCAGCATGGCCAGCAGGGGAGGGCAGCTGGTGGCGCAGACGCAGCGCAGCGCCTCGGAAAACACTTTCCACTGCGCCCGGATGTGCATGCTCCACAGCTTCCTGGTGTTTAAGGCCACGGCCACATCTTGGACTGAAATCACCTACAGAGCCACAAAACTCCTAATATTAGTTTGTAAAACAACCAGCGACACAACAATCAAACAATCCGTGGTCGACTATTCAATTTATCTCCAACTATTTTGATCACTGAGTCATTTTAAAGCAGAAAAACTCTAATTCCAGCTTCTTAAATGTGAATTTTTTCTGGGTTCTTTCCTCTTCCTTGAATATCTTTGAGTTGTGGACAAAGCTAGACATTGGGTTTAAGCTTTAGGAAACACTGATAAGAAGTTGTCACCATTTTCTGACATTTCATTCATCAAAAAACTAATCGTTTAAGCAAGCAAATAATAAACAAAGAAAATAATCTGCAATTTTTCCAACTAATTGCTTCAAAAGTAGTCAGGTCAGTATAAACAGTGAAAAATTTTAACACATAATAAGTCAAATCTACTTAATTTTTGCCCCTTTTGGTTTGAAAAATTACCTAAATTACCCTTTAACCACTTAAAGTGTTGCAAAAAACGGGTAAATGCTTAACTTTATATTAGGTTTTTGTGTTATTATAAGCGATAAGAAAAAGTAAGATAATAAACTGCACTGATTGGATGTGTTACAGCAAAATAGTTTATGCATAACATGGATGAGGAACTAAGAAAACTAGTATTTTTTTCTGACATTTTGTAGACCAAACAATTGATTAATTGAGAGAATAACTGTCAGATTAATTAGCAATGAAAAGAACGATTAGTCGCAGCTCGAATAACAAGACATGAGTAATCAGAATGTCAGAGGCAGAGCAGAACAGATGGGCGACCTATAGAAGACAGTGAGTTACCTGAGTGCTTTGCATCGGAAGTGGAAGAGGCAAGAGCTCCGACAGCAGCGTCAGACCAGAAAACAGACCTTCAGGAGCTTTTAGCAGTGAACTCAAAACCTCCTTCAGCATCAGAGACCACGTGTTACTGGCCAGAGTCTCTTCTGTATGAGTCACCTGCAGCCAACACAAACATTTCTCACAAAACTGACACATAAGTGACCACATATTTCCTGCTTAAACCCTCTCACTCAGTCACGCACCTCCTCGTTGACGCCCTGTGTGAAGGTGAGCAGCACATCGACGATGAGCGCCTGCACTCTGGTCTCCTCCCCGTCCAGACGTCCCGACGCAGGAATGGAGCACACGATCATGTGGAGCGTCACCAAAACGTTGGCGACGCGAGTGTCCCTGAACTGGAAGGCCCCGCCGCGGAGCAGCTCGGTCAGCATGGTGCGCAGCAGCCGCAGCGTGCTGATGCACACGCTGAGGATCATGCAGCGCTGCGGCGTCGGGCCCATGTGTCCGTGAACGCGCCATGGCTGCAGTAAGACGCTGCACAGCTTCTGGAGGACACGAACGCAAGTGTCCAGACCCTCCCCGGAGAACAGCTGGACGCCGGCGAGACTCCACTTCAGATCCCTCTGCTGACCTGCAGAACAGAGGACGATAGAGTGACAACTGTGTCCACAAAAGCACAACAGCTGTCTCTTCTTTCACTTGGCTCCTGTCACATTTTTCCTCACTGTTGGCTCATTTTTTACTGCAATATAAAGTTCTGCACTCTGTGGAAACAGAACATGTGTGATTCCATTAGGAAAACGTACAAAATCTAAGGCTAAAATCAGGATTCTCATTAAATTCACTTTATTCTACACATCTCATTAAAAAATTTGTAGAAAATAAATTCGCTGGCTCAGAGCAGATTCTGTGCTCCTTAGTGCAACTGAGAAACCCTGCAGCTAATACACAGAGCAGAAGGGATACAAGTGCAGTCATCCTCAAATGTATTCATCCCCTTCCATTAAAGAAAAGGCAAAATTCACTATAGTCACTCAAATAACTAGAAACTGAAAAAAGTAATAATAAATAAAAACGTGTCAAATTATAATTTAGTGAAATAAAACATTGCTTTAGAATTGTGGTTGAAAAGAATAATCA